CAGAGAACCCCAAGGACTCCACAGTTCAACCCTGAGCTACACATATTTGCTTCTACTGGTATGAATTTTTTTAGTACTAAAGTTTTTATAATATCTTCTGAAAATAGTTGAGTGCAACAAGCATTAGCTATTGTTTAGATATTGTGAGTTGAAGCTGTTTGCATAGTATATATTAAGATTAGATAATGTAGACATGGTTTATGACACTGAGTGTTACCTTTTAACAGAATGTATGTATCTTTGGGAATTGTGTCATTTTGTTTTTATATATACTTTTTTTCAAGGTTCTTGAAATATATTGGGTGGAATCCAATATCAGACAAAGTTTGCCTGGGGAACAGACTTCTTCCTCAGCTCTTCTCCACAAACCAGCCAGAGCATTCCTCAATCCTATCAAGATGATTCCTGAGGGCATGTGAAGGAGGTTGCAAAAGGAAGGACCCTTATTCTGACCCCCACATAAAGACACTATGGAAGCAGTTCAATCAGTAGAAATCCTGGGTCACACTTTTGGATAATCTCTGGTGGGAGCAGGATGGGGGTAGTGCATCCATCCTGGGTCTTCTTGACTTCTCAGCGGCTTTCAATACCATCAACCATGATATCTTTCTGGATCAGCTCCGGGGGTTGGGAATGGCTGGCACTATATTGTGCTGGTTCTCTTCCTTCGTTCAGGGCTGTTACCAGTCAGTGGTGATCGGGAGTGAGAGGTCCCGCCTTCGGCTCCTACTATGTGGGGTGCTGCAGGATTCAATGCTCTCTCTACTCCTGTTTAACATCTACATGAAACTGCTGAGGGAGATAATCCATAGCCACAGGGCAAGGTATCATCAGTATGCTGATGATACTCAACTATAACTCTCCACCCCAGCAACCTAAGCAATGCTGTTGATGTCCTGTCTCAGTGCCCGAAGGTTGTAAGGGTCTGGATGGGGAACAAAAGGTTTCTACTGAACCCTGGCAAGACTGAGTGGCTTTGGGTTTTAGGGCCTCCTGAATCTGTGACTTTACCATCTTTCATACTGGATGGGGTGGCACTGCCCTAAACAGACCCAGTGCACAACCTGGGGGTCCTCCTGGATTCACAACTCCTGCTCAAGGAGCAGGTGGCAGTCGTAGCCAGGAGGGCCTTTGCACAACTTTGTGTTGTGCACCAGTTGTGCCCATTCCTGGATCGTGAGGCTCTGCTCACAGTTATTCATGCCCTAGTCATCTTCCAAATGGACTACTGAAATGCGCTCTACCTGGAGCTGCTCTTAAAGAGTATCCAGAAGCTTCAGCTGGTGCAAAATGCAGTGGCACAGGCAGTTATATGTGCCTCTAGAAAGACACACGTTACATCTCTGGTCTGTGAGCTGCATTGGTTACCAGTTTGATTCCTGGTCCAATTCAAGGTGCTGGTTATGACCTTCAAAGCCCTATATGGCATGGGGCCAGGTTATCTGAGGGACCACTTCTCCCTGATTACATCTACCCGTACCATCAGGTCTGGCAGAAGATGCATGCTGCAGGTCCCAGCATAAAGAATTCTATCTAATGGGACCTAGGAGACGGGACCTTTTCTGCCACAGCACCTGCCCTTTGGAACATCATCCCCCCTGTGGTGAGGTTAGTCCCAACCCTTATGGCCTTTGGAAAGCTCTCAAAACATGTTTTTTTTCATCAGGCCTGGGGATCACCTGACAGCAGGGAGGCTGCACAGTGGCTACATCACACATTCTGATTTTGACCCTCTCACGATCTTGGTTTTCATAATTAATTTAATTATTTTAATTGGTTTTATAATATGTGTAAATCATTGGTTTTGTGGTATGCCACCCAGAGTCGCCTGAGATGGGCGGCCATATAAATTGGATAAGATAAATGAATAAATAAATAAACATTAATAAACAACATTCATGCAGAGAAGGTGTGGGTGAAGAGATTTGAACAGGAGCTTAAGATATATCACAGTAGGCACAACTGAATAATAGGAAAGAAAGTGTCCTAAAGAAAAGACAGCAAAGAGGTCTCTGAAAATTGTCTGCAAATTCTACAGGTCAGCAGAAACACTAAGACCTCCTTAATTGACTGTATAAGTTTACATCTGCAAAGGTGATCTGCTGGGTACCCTGTTTTCAAACTATTTAGGAAGTTATATACAAAACCCAAGACTGTTAGCCTTGTTTACTAGTTAATAAGCAGCCAGTGCAGTTGTTTCAATAGCAGTGGAATGTGTAACTAGGTATTCCCTCAGCAACTTGGTTGCTGTCTGATTCACTAGCTATAGCTCAAGGATAGGACCATATCAAACCCATTAGTGGAGGATATCCCTGTCCAGGAAAAGGTATAGCTGGTATATCAACAAATACTGATCACAGAACTCATTTGGGCCTCCAGTGATGATAAACCTAGCAGCACAATCAAAGGATGTACATATTTTTTTCTGAGGGAGCACAACTCGATCTAGAAAAGGCAAACTCCTCAAGTCACATAATGAGGAACATACCCTCCCAACAGAGTCTCTGTGTTGTCAGGATTCAGCCTTTGTATTTGCCTTTGTTACTGAGTTCAGCATCTGAAACTATGCTTGACCAGATATGTCAGCATAACAAAAATACATACACATTTTCCAAAATGCCTGCAAGTCCAATCTACACTGTTCTTCCACAACTGTCTGCCTCTTTTCCACAGCAAACTGTAGGGGTGGAACTAGTTACTACAAACCATGCACTGCAGTAGTAAAAATCTGTTATTTTCAGAGAAGACATGTATGAGGTTTCAAAGGGCTAATCCAAGATATTTTGCTGCCTAATACAAGACAATATTCTTGTACATCTCTCAAATACCATGTATAGAAGACAAGCAGAACGATAGTTGAACAAGGGCAACAGATCATTTTAAAGTAGCGGGCTAAGTTAAAGGGTATAAAATTGACCACATATGGTGAGAATTTTGTCCTTTATCTGCCATCAAACAGCTGTCTAGTGATAGGGCTGTCCCTGATTTTTTGTTATGAATCAGAGGCAGACACATGCATTTTAAATTGGTGCAGGCTTCCAATTTTAGTTCACACTAAATTTATCTCAAAATGTAATTTCTCTCAAAAAATGAAAAGACAGAGAACTTCATTACAAGAAGGCCTTCATATAATTTTGAGGGCAAACACTATGGTGCTTAATACTCACTGTAGAGATCTGTTTCATCTAGAATCTCAGACTTGATGATCTCTTCAATTACATCTTCCAAGGTAACAATGCCCAAGACTTCATAAAAAGGATCCCCTTCCCCTTCATTATTCACCCGCTGCACAATTGCCAAGTGAGATTTACCTGCACAAAGTAGTAGACCAAGAAATTAGAACTTAGAGCAGAATGACTGACCAGTTAGTTCCAAAATGACACAGATGAATCCTGTAATGCAACAGCATATAATTTAAGGGATACTGATACTTAAAAACAGCAACAAAAACTGAAGCCTCTCTAAAAGTTTACTAAGCATTTTTAGACAAATATCTAGAGACAAATATCTTTTTTCCAGCTGGGTACCACAGGAAGCAGGGCTACTTAAGTATTGACATTACATAGGTGGTTGGAGCCAATTTTTCAACATTTTGTTTCAGAAGGTTGGAAATGGGATTAAGGAGCAAAATAGACATTCATTTTGCCCTCCCCACCAAAGCAACAAAAAAGAAAAAAGAAAAGTCACACTGCTAAAGATTAGCAGTTTTGCTAAATTATGGCAGTATAATCTGGAAGTGCTCTGGGAATCACAAAATGGGTAGAGGGAAGCACATGAGGTCCACAAGTCATCCACTCCTGTAAAGATTTTTCATCTCATAGAGCATTAGGTCTAGTACCTACAAGGAACAGATGATATTCCTGATATTTCAACCATGCTAAGAAAAATGTTCAGCTTAAGCATCTTTAACCACTTCACAAAGATCATCACCATTACCATATCAAACACATCAGAATTTGATTTCTTCATATTCAAAATATATCAAATATATAAACAAAACATCCCTGAACAGCATACAGTAAAATTAAAGCAAAATCCAAACATCAAAGCATAAAAGAAGCTTTATATTAAAGTAGTAATTTAAACATCAGAGATTAATATATTATATCATATCTTCTAAGAAACTGCTGTGACACAAAATCTAGTTTGTACTACTATTAGGTATGCATATTCTAGAATGATTTACTCCAATTCTGGCTTATGAATTTAGGAATTGACAATTTTTTTTTCAATAAACTTATAACTGCTTTTATCAGTTGCCCTTTCCCTGGGATAATGATATTCCACATTTAAATTACTAATTATAGTGTGCTATACCATTCATCTACAAACAGATGGATTTGATCATTTGAGATTTTAAAGAAGCAAAACAACTTTTTACTTCATGGCAGGTAAAGCCTACATGTTGTCAAGAGCAAATAACTGAAGGTTAAATATGATATTCTCAAGCATATTTGATTGTACTTATTTTAATTTATACTTCCACATGAATACTTTGATTACACACAATTGTTGAAATTCTGTATAACACATTGGGATGTGTCACTAATTTAAATATGGAATGTTTAGAAGGGAAATTATTAAAATATTGATTTTTTTTTTTTTGTATATACTGTGTGGTTCATTTCTATGGCCAGAAGTAGAACACAAATTTAGTCCTTGTTTATTCACAGAACTTAAATGTCACGCACAGAACCCAAATGTCAGTTCATTAAAGAACAATACAGATAGTCCTCACTTACCAACTGCAATTGGGACCAGCAACTCTGTCACTAAGCAGTGTGGTCATTAAGCATGATGTCACATGACCACACTGACTTACAACATCAGTTCCATCTGTTCTGGGTATGGCCATTAAGTGAATTGTGGGTCATTAAGCACAATGTCACGTGACCACAACTTGCGACTTCCTGTCGCTTCCCCATTGACTTTGCTCATCAGAAGCCAGCTGTGATGGTCGCAAATGGCAATCACATGACCACGGGGGGCTGTGACTGTCATAAATGCATGCTGGTTGCCAAGCGTCCAAATCACAATCACATGACTGCAGGGACGCTGTGATGGCTACAACTTTGAGGACCAGTCTCTATTTTCAGCACCATTGTAAGTTCAGTCACTGAACAAGTAGTCAGTAAGCAAGGACTACCTGTAAACTAAATGGTGTCTGACTAATCATATTAAAGGATTCTTTTAGGTGCTTAATAACTACACAACAGCACACTTATCTAGAATTAAAAACCAGCTGAATTCAGACACTCACTATTTAATATCTATTCTAGGTGCTAGATTACTACCCAGATGGCAGATGCAAGAAAAAATGTTTCTTTTTTAAAAAAAAAGACTTTTGTATCTATATGCAATATGAATTTGGTTGAAATATCTTAGGCTTATTGAATGAGCAATCAAATATTCAAGCAAATGTATGTTTAAAGAATGAAGATATTCTGGAAAAAGTAGATCAGGGAGGGGACCTTAATAATTGACATAAATACTGCATCAGGTCAAAATAATTCAGTTCGGTAAACTTCACATCTGCTTTCCCAGGGACCTAACATAAGCAAATTCTTTGAGAATGCTGTCTGTTGAAAGTTAAATTCTTTTGCTATTCCCAGCTTGTGATCATTTAAAAGGAATTTTCCAAAGCAAGGTCTAATATTAGACTCAAAATGAAGTTTCCATTCCACTTACGCGATATTCTCACCAAAGTAACTACTACATAATCTGATTGTCTTGGAGCTACTCGTTTAGATGCAGATGGCCATACTTCAAATACCAACTGAACCACACTGGCAAAGCTTGTCTCAAAGAAACCCTTACAGCGGGAATCATTATTAGAATCATTATTTGTATTTAAAGTTATGCAGATGATCATACATTTTCTTTAGGCCATGAAAAAAATGAAATTCCTTCCTTGCACAGTTATAATTTTGCTATCAATTTGCATTCCATGAAATGGGATCTATGTTACATGGTCTCTCCAAATCTACATAATTTCTAGTTATTCTGATGTGTCAAAGAAAGACAATACTGATTTAATTGGTAGCAAAATACAGTGTGCAGATACAAGTAAAGGTATGGAATCATTTTGACTTAAACAACCCATTTGAAGAGAGTTTACATTTTAAATTTGAAGTCAACAAAAAACATATTATTGAAAATAAATAACTCACGATTTCATAAAGATTAACTACCCTTAATTTTTTATATTACAGCATGATGCTATAAAAAAGTAAATAAGAAAAATCAATACTTTACTTTTTATTCCAATCTTTAATAGTATATATTTTTGCTCTCTTACAGCTTTATGGAAATCAAACTACTTTTGGAAGAAGTAAAATATACATTGCGATATCACCAAAAGGTTTTTTTCAACATGCAAAGATTAAAAATATATATATTGGACCTCTAAACCAAACTAAAACTGTTACAGTAGTTAATCTGCAATGCAACTGGCAGCTTGTTTTACTTCTATGCTGCTCTTCTTCCCAGAACTGTATGACCTGATGACTGTGCAACTAATAGAACGGTGTAAAAAGCAGCAATCCGGTACACACTTGAAATGGATGGGGGTTGCCATTATGTAGTTTTACATGGGACTGGGGTAATTATTACTGAAAGATTCATGAAATCATATGCAAAAGATTTATATATCGAAATGAAGCATGGTATGTTTAATTACTAGATTAATCAACAAAGCATGTGATTTTAATTAATAAGGATTGATTTTAATCAGTAGGATTAAAAACCAACAGGTAGAAATATGAAGTAATAGCAGGCCTTCTTTCTGATGGGGAAGCTAATTTGATTAAAATATGCTACTTTATAACAGGAAATTTAAAAGACTACAGATAACCTACCTAACAAAATATACTTTATGGTATTTTGTATTGAAGTTATATATGCAAATGCATTGCTAGACTAATCAGTTTTCTTTGGTTAACAAGTAGGGATGCTGATAGGTTTATATGTAAATGTGTCTACATATATAAATATATGGCTACGTAATAAAGAAGGTTAGCGCTGAGGCTGAGAGGGTGAGGGAAAGGTTTTTAAAGTTTTCTGGAAAAAACAAAAATGGGTTCTTCACTTTAATAGTTAACAAAATTATACAGCTTGGTGATTGCCAAATAAGAAATTTAGGGACTACTTAATGACATAATATTTGTTTTTTCCTTCATTCCACTTGGTTCTGATTGGAAGCTATGTGTAAAAACAAACAAGCAACTCCCCTTGACACTTATACCAGTATATACAGTTTATTAAATATCTTTCTCCCCCATACAATTGACCCCCATCTTTCCCACTCCCACATTATAGCATCAGAAATTCTGGAGATCTGATAATTGTCCAAACTGAGAAAGGATGTGGAAAATGAACAAAACAATAGAAAGATCCTGAAGAGAATGAGGCCATTTTTTTCAGATGCTCAGAGAAGAACTGAGATAGACAAGTGGAGATGTTTTCTGATTCTTATAATGAAGCAATCTGCACAAAAGGGCATTATTTGTAGCAACATATTTATAATGCAGCAAGAAAAGTACTGACAGACACTTAAGTCCTTCAACATTTCAGCATAGTACTGAACTATTTGCTGATAAATCTGACTGGGACCCTACTATGATAGATAGGGATTCTGAATGACTGCTGTACATTCTATTATCCAGTGAGAACCCACAGTGGATAATTGGATAGTGAATAACCCATAGTCCATTTTCTTTCTAAGTTAATAAAAGTTACTTATAATTATTACTCTGTTAGTCAGTAAGTAGACCTGCCAGATTGGTGCCAGTTTGTATTTTGAGATCAATGTCTTAAGACAATATCAAAGAAAGAAATCAGAGAAATATGAAACCAGAAAAGTCTACACATTGATACCATTAGTAGCCCACTAGAAGTCAAGGACACAAGCTTTTCTGTTTTATATTGCTTTTTCTTTTATTTGTAAGCTTTCCAATGATGTACATGCCCAAAATGTGATTGCATCTAAAAGGACACTACTAATATCATAAACCTTGTCCACAGACAAAAGAGCTTATTAGAATGGCATTTTACCAGAATGTTGGAAACTTGAGACATAGCACAAATACATATTCAGTTTCAACTACATTATAAAAACAGATTTTTATAGTTATCAAAATATTTTATGCAGATTTAACAATAACAAAAATGGCGCACTACTTAATATAGCAACTAACAGTAACATCTGGTTCAGAAAGCAACTTGATGAATGACTATCATGTTTTATTCTCCTTTTTATCAATCAACCTTAATTCCATAATTACCTGGAAACAGGTACTCTTGAGAATTCTGT